CTTGTGCATACTCTTGTAAATATAGGGTGCTTGGTACAATTCCTACAACTCGGCCCTACCTGACAAAACGTTCGCCCTCGAACGGGGCTACCACTTTTTCATATTATCAGCAGATGATGTCGTTACCCGAGGCCCCTCACAATTCCCCACTCTCTCAACTTCATAACGGTCATGATTGAGTTTATTCACTATTTTGTATGGCCCCAGAAACTTCGGCCGTAACTTCATACCTACGCCAAACTGTGTCCGCTTTATTGCAACCAGGTCGTTCACTTTATATTGCGTTCCTAGTTTCCTATTCTTATTGTACGTGTTTCTGTTCTCCTCTTGTACTTTTCGTATATTAGTTTTAGCTGTTTCACGTAAAATTTCCCTCTCCTCATCAAAATTACTAACTACTTCTTCCTCTAAAATTTCCTTCAACCTCAAGTCCTCCTTAACTCGCATATCGCACCCTGTTAGTAGCCTAAACGGGGGCATAGTAGTACTACGACTTGGTGTGTTGTTGATATATTGCTGAACTTGGCCAACGTACTTATACCACTGACCTGGATTCGCATGAGCTAGTTTTGCCAACATTGGTACCACAACCCGATGCATTCGCTCTACTTGGCCATTTCCCCTAGGGACACCAGTAGTAATCAACAAATGCTGTATACCATTGCTTTCGCAATAGTTCTCGAAACTATGTGACGTGAAAGCTGCTCCCCTGTCTGTGATAATTCTACGCGGATTGCCAAATATCGATGCTTGCCTCGTTAAGTGGTCCACAACTGCATCTGATCCTGTATCTTTTGTGGGATAAAGCCACACAAACTTCGAAAATGCGTCTACGGCCACTAATATGTAACTGTATTTTTTGCCTGTCACCGTCATTGGTCCTACGTGATCTATATGGTACGTTTTTAGTGGATGGTCTTCCTTATCGATAGGTGATAAGAAGCCTTCCTTCTTACCGCTTTTAGCGTTTATCACTAAACACTGTACACAATTCTTGACTATTTTTCCAACTTTCGATTCTAATTCTGGAATATAATATGTTTTCTCCACGCAATCGCATGTTTTTTTGGATGAGAAGTGACCTTGCCTATGAGCTACCTGAATTATCTCTTCCTCCAAGGAATTAGGAACCACTATCAATTCCCTGGTGTAATCTTTGTATAATATATCATGGCGGATATAAAAATCTTCGTAACTGGACGTCTCTAATATTTTCCTTATAGCACGAGTCCATTTATCGTCTAACTGTGCTTCTTTCAATCTGTGCCGTAGTGAGTCGTTTATAAGCATGCAACTTAATCTGCTAAGTGCATCAGCATGCTTCATTTGCGTTCCCGACCTATGTTCCACGGTATAATTGAACTCTTGAAGGAACATTGCCCACCTAGCGACTCGCGTCGGTACGTCCTTCTTCTTTAAGGTCATCGCAAAAGCGTTGCAATCTGTCACTATTTTGAATGGTAACCCTAACACGTAAACTCTCCACTTCTTAAGAGCCTCCACTATCGCAAGAACCTCCAGCTCATAAGAGTGGTAGTTTTCTTCCGATGGTTTTGTCTTTCGGCTCATGTACATGACCGGGTGGAACTGTTGGTCCTCTGGCTCTTGTTGTAACAGAACAGCTCCGTAACCATGTTTAGAAGCATCTGTATGAATTTCTGTAACGCCGTTCGGATCATACAGCTTCAACACCGGAGATTGTACAAGAGCCTCCTTAAGTTGCTGAAAAGCGATAGTTTGCTCATCTCCCCACTTATAATTTACATTCCTACGTAGTAAGTCTGTCAATGGTTTGGCCATCAGTGCGTAGTTCTTAATGAATCTGCGAAAATATGATGTTAAACCCACAAACCTCTGAACTGCTTTTTGATCCTTCGGTACCTTGAATGCTTTTACTGCTCGAGTTTTCTCTAACGACGGTCGCACTGTATTGTTTTCTATAATATAACCAAGAAAATCTACCTTCCGTTTCAGAAAGCTACACTTTCTCCACTTTATGCGCAGTCCTGCCTTTGCTGCTATGTTCAAAACCTTTTCCAGTTTTAAAATACCTTCTTTCTCGTCTGCCGATGGAATGATTATGTCATCCATGTAAATAACGATAGTCCCGTCATTAATCAACTGTCTAAATATCGCGTTTATATATCTGCAGAAAACTGCAGGCGAATTCGATATTCCGAATGGTACATAAAGAAATTCGTACTGACCCTTGCTTGTAACAAATGCTGTATATTTCCGTGAACCTTCTTCAACGGGGACATGGAAAAAATCCGTTTTCTAAATCTAATGTTGTAAACACCTTAGACCCCTGCAACCTCTCAACTACCTCGTCCATTAATGCCATGGGAAAATTGTCGCGTACAACCTTCTCGTTTAGCTTTCGGTAGTCACAACAAAGACGTTTGCTTCCGTCCTTTTTACCTACCAGCACAATTGGAGAAGCATAGTTCGAATTACTCGTAGTAATTATACCCTCATCTAACCACGTTTTAATCTGTTTTTCGATAAATTTTTGGTCCTCGTAGGACGTTCTCCTAGGACGTTGATAAACCGGCAAATCGTCGGTTAGTATAATCTTCATCTCAACTTGAGATTCTACACACTTCAACGGTACATACTGCCTAACAAGTTCGTCAATAGCAGCCGAATCACCTTTACTGAGGTGAGCTAGGTCGTGTTGTGAACCTTCTACCTCCTCAACCTGTAGACACAGTCCTGGAAATTCTTCCCTCAACTCCAGTATGCTACTCTCTGAAACCCTCGTTTCCTTGCCTTCCTTTTGTTTGTACGTGAGTACATCACCATCTTCTCGGATTATCAAATCCACTTGACTTAGTATCGAACGACCCAAAATAGCTGGATAATCCATGTCTGCATCTTTAATAATATGAAACGTTATCCCTATCTCCACGTCGTCTACCAACGCCTTCGCGTTAAAGCTTCCTGAGGTACATATCTCCCGATGACCTATCCCTTCTAATCTACGCTTATCTCCGTTAATCCTTAACCCAAAATCTAACTCGTTTACCGTCGATTGCCGTATTAAGCATAAACCGCTTCCCGTATCAAGTAAAGCTGGGAAAATGGTATTACCCACCTTTAACTTCTTGAATCTTAAATCCCTATCTGCTCTCGAAGGTTTCCATTTAATCTCCTTTACCGTGTTCAAATTCGTCTTTTCTGACTTCACCTTAACATTCTCTCCTGGACAGTTATAAGACTTGTGTCCCATCTTACTACATTTGAAGCACTTGACCTGTTGGTCCTTCAATGTACAGTCCTTAGCTACGTGAGACGCATCTCCACATTTAAAACATTTCCTTTCGCCTGCTTGCGCTTTATCTTTATCCACCTTTTCACTTTTCGGCTTAAAATCTAACGCGGTAGATTTCGGTTTCGTCGAAATCTTTTCGTAAATTTTTATCTGTTCTTTTAGCTCTTTGATACTTTTGGCTTGATATAAGACGGTTTTGTTGAACCTGGTGTCCGGTATCCCTGCCACAAAGTAATCTAACAGACTTGCCTCATCTAAATGAATCTTTTTCCCGATTTCCATCAACGCATACAAAAACTCTAAGAATGTCTCACTATACTTCTTTTGTCGATTTCTCAATATTCTGTGCACCTCTGCTGAACATAAGCTGACCCCGAATTCTGCAATGAGAGCCGCTTTCAACTTATTCCAGTCTTTCAGACCTACTTGACTTCTAACGAACGACTTCGCTGCCCCTCTCAACAGCTGTTTAGCGTAAATGAACTTGTGAACCTCGGTCCACCCTACAGTTTCTGCGCTCTCCTCGAATTGCTCCACCCACTGGTTAACATCAAAATTGTCTGTTCCATTAAATAAAGCCAAGCTGTCTTGAATATCTTTAAAAGTAAAATGGGGACCTGCGACTAGCCTAGGGCTGACAACAACCGCTTCCCCCCGTGATGACACCGACTCAAAATCATTTTCTTCCTCTTCTTTATCTTCTTCCTCATCGTTCAGTAACCCATAATGTCTGAGAAGTCTTTCCCTCAGATCCTTCTTCCGTCCGTCCAGTGGTAAATCTAACTCCCCAAGTTTCGTCTTTAATAACACTACAGTCATATTTAATATTGCTTGAGCATCCATTTTGAAAATTTTTATCGATATTCAATTTAAAATATATATATTACTACTTTTAAAATATAATTTTTGATTCAAAATTATTGTAAAATATAATTACATATATCCAAGTTTTAAATTTTCCTTTGAAAATTATCTCTACTTTTTACAGATTTTAAATTAATAACCAGTTTTCAGATTCTAGTTTTTCAATGAATGAAGTTGTTTATGAAAATTCGAACGAAATGTGTACACGTTTATAAACGCAATCTGCTTTTAATCTTGAAAAATTAGTTGTTTTTAATTTCACAAATTCTTATTATTTTCTTCGGTTTTTACCAATATCTTTAGTAGTTTGTTTATTTAAATGCAATATACTTTACTATTTACTATTGAACGTACAACAAAATACGCAAACAACAAGCAAAGTTGATTTAACACAAATTTCTCTTCTTAACTTATCTTTTTCCTGCTGGGTACTTTGTCTTCAGTAATCGCTGCTTTCGATGACTTCTGCTTCTATTGCCTTGCCGCTGCGCTGCTTTTCTATTGCTGCATTTACTGAACTGTTGCTTCTTCAATTTACCTATATTTCAAACGTTTTGTGAGTTTTACTTTGTTGTATTGCGATCTCTATTACTCTCGCTATGTAACTGTTCTGTCCACCAACACTTGCTTACGCTTCACTTATGTACATATGTCTGTTTGTATCTTCTTATTGGAAACAATACGACACTTTCAATGTTCTTAGCACGTAGCAACACAAACCGACGCCTTGTCTTTGCTCGCTACTGGCTATGTGCAAAAAACCACCCTTTTACCATCACAACGCTTGTCTGTTTGTAGATATGTACAAACACTGTAGTGACGCTACTGAAACGCCAAGTTCACTGCGCAACAACACAATTTGATACACTTGTACCGACGCCACTCAACCAGCCTACTAAGCTTCCTGGACACCTGATGGCTTTGATTTCTTGTTCACAACGTCGTTTGTATGTATATATGTATACACTGACTGTACTAATGCTTCCGCAAATGCTAAGTCAACTACGCAACAACACAATTTGATGCACTTGTACTTCTGGACACCTGATGGCTTTGATTTTTTGGTACAGTTTGGTTCAAGAACCTATGTGATCAATTTACACCGATTTGTTGCTGCTATGGGTTTTACACCTCTTTTGAAATGTATTTTTGTCAAATTACACGATTTTTGCTTTTCTTTTTGTTTTTGTAATGGGTTTGCACCTCTTTTGAAAATTATTTTTTATTCAAATTAGAGATTTCACTTTGCACATTAGTTTTTCTTTTAAGTTTTTGGCTAAAACTTTTACGCCTTCAAACGCGCACTCAGTTTTCTCGGTTTTCAATCGGTTGAGCCCCCACTTTGTAGGTTTTAATTAATAAAACACGTATTTTTGGTGGTTTATAGAATATAGTTTAATTTAAGATAGTTTAATTTCAATTAGGTTAACATTTAGTACTAGTTTTAGCCATTTATTTAGCTTAAGTCGTTTAGTTTAGTATAGATTAGTTCTAATTAGATATTTATTTAACTTTAGTTTAATGTTTAAAGGTAAAACTTGGGAGTATTAATCAATACCACCGGTCAGCTTCAGTCGTTAGCGCGAACTGTCCTTTGGCTTCTCATTTTTTGTCAGTTCACCCCATGATGCTCGTTATTGCTTTTGATTGATTTGTATGTTTGTATGTATGTCATTTTAATAGTTGTTTTTTCCTGTGTTTGACTGAATCGGATGTTTGTGCGTGAATTGCCTAATTATGTTTGTTCATACGTTTGA